AGGCCATCAGGAAAGGGTCGTGCCTTCATGTACAGTCGATTGTGCTTATTGGGAGACTTGGACAGACAGAGCACATTTGACTCCTCGCTAACTGTCTCACGATAGGAGACAACAGGATCAGATTTCTGCAAAAGAAGCACAGAAGTCAGGCCTGCAGAAGCAAGTGACCGCCCAGGAGAGGGGCCTCCTAATGAGACTCAGGAAACAGACTGGCAATGGGCGCAAAAATCAGAATGACTAGTTTAATTTAGTGGCACAGAGCCATGCACATCTCACTTCTGTATAAATACACAGTATGCAGCTCTTCCCTTGCAAGGGGCTACCCACTGCCAATAGGACTGGCTGAAGAATAACTTATCTTGTGAAATGCTATGCAGTTATTACATGAAAAGAACCAATGTGCAAAATGTAGGCACTAGCCTAATCCTATTTTGACACATGGAAGACAAGATGAAAATGCAGTTAACTGAGAGAAAGAACAGAGATTTGTATTTCTATTATATGAAGGAAATGCAGTTTAAGGGACTTAATGAACACAGATCTGAACTCGGTTATTTGAAAAAGTGGAGAATGAAAAACAGAGACAGCAACTGGGCCTAAAGTTGGCTACTAAATGTCTATGCTCTTGCCGGGACCGGTTTGGCTCAATGGATAGAGCGTCGGCTTGGGGACTGAAGGGCCCGGGGTTCGATTCCGGTCAAGGGCATGTACCTTGGTTGCGGGCATATCCCCGGTAGGGGTGTGCAAGAGGCAGCTCATCAATGACTCTCTCTCATTGATGTTTCTAACTCTCTATCTCTCTCCCTTCCTCTCTGTACAAAAATCAATAAAATATATTTTAAATAAATAAATAAATAAATAAATGTATATGCTCTTTAGAAGCTTGTATTTGGAGATTCTGGAAAGCAGACTCCCCACACTCCGACCTCAAAAGCTATTGAGCATCTATTTGAACTTCTGGTTTCACATGGCAAAGTCACACTATCTCTTAGGCGTAGGTGGAAAGGAGGGAATCATCAGAGTCCAGCCAGGACAAGGGCTCTGCCATGCCTGCACACCATCCATCCATCCCTACCCCTACTAGGGACAGCATGCTTCACCTTGATGGGAATGCAGGCGTGGTCCTCCTCCAGGTCTTTCAGGCAGATCTCCAGGTGCAGCTCACCAGCCCCAGCAATGATGTGCTCCCCTGACTCCTCAATGATGCACTGAAAGAGGCCGTATGTTAATCCAAGAATCAAACCCAAAGAACTACTTAGAAAACCCAAGAAATTGGGGGTGGAGAATGGCAGGCTCCAAGCATCCCTTCTAGTTGGAAGTTTTTAGGGATATTTTCAGGGCCCGTGAAGGGGTGGGGGGTTAGGGGGGTGGGGGGATAAAGACCCATCATCTATAGCCACTCTATAGAGATCCAAGGCCTGGGTTCCTGGACCATACACTGACATTAAAAGAGCAGCAGTGCCCTACTAGAATGGCTCCCTAGTTGAAAGTCAACCTATGAACCAGAGGTCAATGTTCGATTCCCAGCTTGGGCACATGCCCACATTGCGCATTCAATCCCCAGTGTGGGTGTACAGGAGACAGCCAATCAATAATATTGCTCTCTCTCCCTTTCTGAAATCAACAATATAAAACTTTTAATAGGGCAACAGCTGAAACCAATTTGGCTCAGTGGATAGAGCATAGGCCTACAGACTGAAAGGTCCCAGGTTCGATTCCAATCAAGGGCATGTACCTTGGTTGCGGGCACATCCCCAGTAGGGGGTGTGCAGGAGACAGCTGATCGATGTTTCTAGCTATCTCTATCCTTCTCCCTTCCTTTCTGTAAAAAAATCAACCAAAAATAAAAAAATTTTAAAAATGGAAAAAACTGGAGAAGTCAAGTTTTAATTCTGACCAGCCAGCGTGGCTCAGTGGTTGAGCCCCAACACCTGAGCCAAGAGGTCACTAGTTCAGTTGCCAATCAGGGCACAAGCCTGGGTGGTGGGCTTGACCCCCAGCAGGGGCCATGCAGGAGGCAGGCGATGGATGTTTCTATCCTCCTCATTTCCTCTCTGTAAAGATCAATAAGAACATGAAATAAAATAAAAACAAATTTAAAAGGGGGGGGGGGGGGGGCAACAGCTCTTTGGGGGAAGGTGTGCGTTTAACACGCACCTGAATTTCCGAACAGTTCCAATTAGAAATCCCTCCTTATATGAGAAGCCACCCAATCTTTTCAGCTCAGACGCCAACAAATTGACCCTGCAGGTGGTGGTGCGTCCTGCCAGGGTGCCTGCCCACCTGCACCATGGGGTCTGACTTGGCCAGCCGCTTTAAGCCCTCCACCAGCTTGGGCAGGTCAGCCGGGTTCTTGGCCTCCACAGCAACCCTGACGACAGGGCTCACGCTGAACTTCATCACTCGCATGTTGTGGGCGTGCTCAAAAGTGGTGATGGTGCCTGTTTTCACAAGGAACTGGTCCACACCCACCAGGCCCACAATGTTCCCACAAGGCACATCCTCGATGGGCTCCACATAACGGCCCATCATCAAGATTGTTCTGGGGGAGAGACAAAAGGTATCAATGCAACCCCACTGTGGTGCCAGGTCCCAGAATGGCTGAAGACAAAGCCCTTCCTTCTGGAGCCTGTGGTCATCCCTCCTCCATTGAGTGGTGGTGCCACCCCCTAGATGTCAAGCCTTGGCTCTTCACTGTAACCCAGTGACTGTCTCAGCAAAGTGTTGGCTCCTGTGTAACAAGACAGGCACTACCTGCCGTTCCCACACCCCCCATGCAGGGCTCCATACACCGGACCCAAGACTGAGAAAAGGCAGTGTGCTGTGGGCAACCCATGAGGAGGGGATCCACGTTCTATCTTCCCACCACCAATGCCCAGAGTGGGGTTAGGGGTAGGGCTGACAGAAGACTGGCATTTCTGAGATCAGCACCCGCTCTTGGGTAAGTGACAGTAAACTGTGTTGCCACTGCTGGGAGCTCAGGAACATTTGCCTCTAACTCAGGGAAGGGATTCTACCCTGATTATTAGGGGAAGCAAGCCCCTGCTTCCTGTCGTACCTCATCCACACAAGCCTCTCCAAGTTGAGGACAAAAGGTGGTCAGAGGGCTCAACACTACCATCCTGCTGGGCACTTCACGTAAAACCCCTCTGAGCTCCCACTCCTCCCGCAGCCTGGAGCAGGGAGGGCGGGCTGGGCCCAGCCTTGGGTCACAAATGACTAGCCCAGCACTTCACCTCTGGATCGGCTTCAGGTACAGGTCCTCCTTCTTCCCTGGGGTGTAGTTAGGACCCATGATCCTGACCTTCAGGCCGGTGGACACCAGCCCTGAGAAGACTCGACCAAAGGCATAGAACCGGCCTTTGTCCGAGGTCGGCACCATTTTGGAAATGTACATCATAAGGGGCCCTTTGGGGTCGCAGCTTTTAATGCCTGGGGGGGAAAGGAAAAGAAAACATGATTCCCTAATAGTTCAGCCTTCCAGAATCCTGAGAGCCTTAAGCGTGGCAATGAGCAGCGTTCTAACCACGGGCTGCTCTGGGGGCCCCCACATACCCATGGCTGCCTCGTCGTCGGGGGGGCCCTCATACAGCAGCTCACAGCGGTACTTCTGAGCAGTCACGGGGGAGGGCAGGTGGATGGTGATCATCTGCAGCAGGGCATCGCCAGCGGGCAACCAGCGGCGCATCACCGCCTACACAGAAGGGTCAGGAGGCAATTCTGAGAACCTCTGGCATCACGTGCTCACAAGGTTTACTCAAATGCACGGTTCCCTCCAGAAGAGCCAGGCCAGCACCCGAGGTCTTCTGTCCACCCCTGCTGGTAGCCATGCTGCAGCCGGGAATGCTTCCAACAGCAAAGCCAGAGCCCAGCTCTGGCAGGGAGCCCTGTGGAGACTCTTGGACAGCCCCGCATGCTTACCTTCAGGAGTGGTTTGCCTTCTTTGTCCTTATCTTCACTGTCCAACTTGATGTCCAGTTTTTCAATTAGTTTTGCCGTCTCCTCTTTCTTAAAATTCATGATAGCATCAAATACCTAATTGGGAGTTTGGGAACATATTAGGGAGCCTGCAGCTGCCTGCTCCTGAGAAGCCTAAGGCCATGCACAGAGCAGAGAGGCAAGGTTACTAAATTCCCCACCCCACCACAAAGGACTTGACCCAGACAGGGCAAGTCTTGGGGACATCTCCCAGTAGATCGAAAGAAAAAAGTATATTCTGACTTACAGACCATGAAAATATTTTAACTAACAAAGCCCTGAAACCCATGGCTGGCAGAGCAAAACCAGACCTCCCTGTCTCAGTTCACCTAACCAACCCCAGCCAGAGATGCTGATGGCCATGGAGATTTTACCCTTACTGTGCTGCTGCCTAATCCAATATCCCAGCCGCCATCTTGAACCTGGCCCTGCCAGAAGCCACTAGGCCCAAGGGCAGCCTAGGGAATGCACATCCATCAAGCACATGCAGCAGCTCACCTTGAAGATGGGGTCCAGGATAAGCTGGCAGAATGTCCGTGGCAGCTTCTTGCCATCAGGGCTTGTGGCGGACTTGCTGAATTTACCATTGGCTGGATCAAAGTACCTGGTGAAGGCCCAACCCAATTAGGCTAGGGTGCCTAAATCAAGGTTAGAGAAAATGCCCCCCCACAGACATGGTGTTCCTGAGCCACATCATCACCTCCAAGTCCCCGCCCACCTTGCAGATTGGTTGCACAACGCCCTGCTCCTCCCCGCAGCACTCACCGGTCACCCCACAGCTTCTTCATCATGTCCTCTACCTTCTTGGCCCGCTCAGCAGGCCCCAGCTGGCCCTCACCCTTGGCGGCAAATTTGGCCACATACATCTCTGCAAACTGCTTCAGAGTGAAGGCCCAACCATGGAGACCGGACCCGAAGCCAACAGTCCCAAGGACAGGGTCAATCTAAGAGAGCAAGAGAAAGCTGTGAGTGAACAAGAGACAAACAGAAACCCCAGCTACCATGTCCCTGGGCACCATGGGCTTCAGACGTCAGATTTCATCAATTGCCATCAGGTCAAAGTGAAGAAAATTTAGTCATCATGTACAGGATGCCCAACTCTGCCTTCATCTTCTCCACCAGCAAGGGCTGGCAGTAACAGAGGGGACTGCCCTGAGTCTGCTTCAGCAGACAGGGTATCTCCTCCCCCAAAATTCAAGTATTAGATGAAGTCAGCACTAAAAACATTCCAGCCCCCTTGTCACCCCAACATCCCTAGAAAAACCAACTTTCAGATCCTCCAAGACCCCAAGGACCAGACTATGGGTCCCCCAGAGGGAGGTCACAGCCCTTTCCAGTCTGTGGGAAGGACAGGAGGAATGCAATGGGGTAGCTGGCAGGACACTTACCATGATGTTGCCCATGGGGCCGCTCTCGCCCTCTCCATAGGTGGAGATGATGACGTTGACGTTCTCCACAATGCGCTGGAAAGTCTGATAGAGCTCCTCAGGCTCCAGCTGCAGCTCAAGCAGAGCCCGGTCCATCTTGTTCATCATCAGCACAGGCTTGATGCGCTCTGCAATGGCCTGCCTCAGCACGGTCTCTGTCTGCACACACACGCCTGGGGGTGGACAGAGATTTCTCATCAGCCAGAGAGGGGACACCCCAGGTTCCCAGCCAGGGATGAGGAAACCTGCTGCTTACCAGACACACAGTCCACTACCACCAAGGCACCATCGGTGACCCGGAGAGCAGCTGTCACCTCTGAGGAAAAGTCCACGTGCCCAGGAGAGTCAATGAGATTGATAAGGAAACCGGAACCATCCTTGCTCTGCTTGATGAAGTTCAAGTCGTTCTCTGAGAGCTCGTAGAAGAGGGAGATGGCCCTAGGGAGATTGGGACAGGTTGGATGAACAAAAGGCACCCCTGTCCCATTCTATAGCTCTTCACTGTCCTCCCAAACTGCAGAGGTCAGCCTGGGGTTCCTGCCCAAGGGCAGTCAGGACAAATAATCCCTAACCACCACAGTATGTGGTAATAATAAGACCCAGAGCCTGAAGGAACACTGCACCACTTTCTCCACTGCATTCCTCTTCCCTAGAGACAGACTTCAGGTCTCCCAGGAAAGAGCTTTGCCCACCTCCCTAATTTCAGCTACAAAGGGAGAGCCCACCTGTCCAGTCCCCAGCATGGGTCCTCCCAAGCTCAACACACCTGATTCCAAATAGCAACTATATGACGGGGGAAGACCCACCTTCCACCCATCCTGTGCCCTTCACCCCAGCGGAAATAGTCTCAGGGCAGATGAAGAGAAGCTCACAAATCCCCAATGGAAAACAAACAGCAATTTCAGTCCCTTTGTTTTGGGTTCTCACCCCACTGACATCTGGGATCAGGAATCTGACATTGGAGGGGGCACTCCCAGACACTTCAAAAGGTCCTCCCCCCATGAAATGGGGACTCACTGGGTTAAGCCCCTCTTCCTCTGCAAGTCCCAATACCACTCCCATCACTGTCTCCCTGGCTGCAGGGCTTCCTGTCTCTCTAGACTGAAGCTCATTGCCCCTCATAATCCAAAAATCCAGACTCCTCAGAAGCCCCTTGGGAAAGAGATTGTGTCTGAGGTCTCCACACCAGGCTCCAGGAGAGTACCTCCCCTCCCCAGTCCAAAGAGCACCGGAGCTTGCTCACGTCGACTTGATGGTGATGCAACGCTCCTGCTCGTCCTTCCGGGTGTCGGTGAAGCGGGTCTCGCCAGCCCGGGCGGAGGCGATGATGCCGGCCTTACACACCAGGGAGTCCGTCAGCGTGGACTTGCCATGGTCCACGTGAGCGATCACGGACATGTTCCGTATGTTGGCCTTCTTGTCCATGATGGCCCGGATCTGATCTACTGTGAAGTTCACCTAGGACCGGGGAAAGGGGAGGCTCAGGCGGGTCCAGGAACCAGGCTTGGCACCAAGACCACAATCGATATACTGCCAGCACCAAGGCCAGGAGGGGGCTGATGCCGGGACAACCCCAACTCCCACCCAAACTCCCCAGTCTCTGCTGCCGATACCCCTTTAAAAATGCCACTTGTCCCATTTCTGAAAACCCAGATTTCTAGTTGTCACTTAGAAGTGACAACCCAGAATCTGGGGCTGGGACTAATGACAACTAATTTCCTGTAGATGGAGTGACGTGTTTGCAATTAAAAAACATGGACGGTATAAAGCTCCCCCCGAAACCCTCCCCCTATTGCCACTGGGATTTCTCATGCTTTACCCAACTAAACAGGTTCTTTAAACCCGAAGGTCACCCTTCAGTCTGGGGTAAGACAGGGCCACCCAACCCTTCACATTCCTAAATATGCCGCCACCACCACCCGCGTCTGGTGAGAAGCTTGCGCACTGCGAGCCTCCACCTCGTGGCTCGAGTCGGCTTCACAACTGGGCGATACAAACACAGTGAAGGAGCCAGGCCAACATTAGGAAAAGGCTTTCGGGGTTTGGCTTTCTCGGTTTTGCCGTTTCCCTGTTCCCGACACAAAGTCGAACTTAAACTCCCGGTGGGTGGGTTACATAAGGCGGCTCCCCGTCTCCCCGCTGCCCTGGCGGCGCCCGCCATTACAGCATCTGCCACATCATCAACACCCAACCCCGCCTCCGCCCCAGCTCCAGCCGGGCCCCGAGTCCCGTGAGACCGGGGCGCCCTCGGAAGCAAGCAGCACGGCGCAGACATGGCGGCCGCCGCTTTCCCAACCCCAGGCCCGCCAGCCGGGCCACCGCCATGTCTCCTCCTTCCTGCCCAACCGGCCCCAGCCACTCCAGACCCGGCAGCGCCGGCCCCACAGAGGCCCCGCCACCGCTCTAGGCCCCCAGCGAAACGGTATTACTTACCATGGTGGCGGATGGCGGTGGATTCTCCCAGGTAGATCCGAGAGAAGGGAATCGCGCCGGAGATGCGGCGACGCGGGCGGAAGAGAACGCTGACGTCAACACCCGACCTTTTATAGGCCAGCGCCGGTTGAGCTGATCATCTGACTGCGCTGCGGGGGCGGGGCGAAGCGACGTCGTGCGTAGGCGTGAGGACGCGCTCTTTCCCGTAACCCTTTAGGCGCGGGTGGAGTTGCTAGGGAATAATGCATCTGCGTTCTGCATCTGGATTTCCCTGGGGTCGGCTCCTTAGCTGGAGGCGCGCCTCTGAGATGCAATACTCAGGTTCATAGAGCAAAAAGTGCCGTTTTAGCTGAGAATAGTAATCATAGCTTGCAAAATGCCAAACATATTGAAAAGCACAGTACAGCCGGTAGCTTGGCTCAGTGGATAGAGCGAGCATCAGCCTGCAGACTGAAAGGTCTCAGGTTTGATTCCAGTCAAGGGCATGTACATTGGTGGCGGGCACATCCCGGGGGAGGGGGGGGTGCGCATCTGGTCCATGTTTCTAGCTCTCTATCCCACTTCCTTCCTTTCCATAAAAAATCTATAAAATATATTTTTAAAAAATAAAATAAAATAAAAAGCACAGTACAGTCCTGGCTGGGTAAATCAGTTGGTTAGAGTGCGGAGGGGATCACCAAGGTTGCAGGTTTATCTCTGGTCAGCACACATACAAGAAGCAACCAACGAATGCATAAATAAGTGCAACAAATCAATGCTTCTCTCTCTCCCTTCTCTTTCTCTCTCTTTCTAAAATCAATCAATAAAAATTTAAAATTAAGAAAGCACATTACAGAAGGACAGGTCGCATCATCACCACCAGGGTGGCGGGGACTCAGGGTCAACAGCTAGGGGGTAGAGATAGGGCAAAAATAAATAAATAAATAAATAAATAAATAAATAAGAAATCACATTGCAATAGATTGTACCAAAGCCAATTTTCTGTTTTAATATTATGTAAAATGATACCACTGGGAGAGGCTGGGGAAAGAGTACTTAGAATCTCTCTGTACTACTTTTGAAACTACCTGTCTATAATTATTTCAAATAAAAGGTTTTTTTATTCATGTGCTCATCACTCATTTCCATAAAGACAGATTGAGTGTCCACCATGTACCAGTATTGCTATTGGTGCATAGATATCTATGCTATATATAGATATACCAGTAAACAAAATACCAATTTACTAATATGTGTTCTTACTAGTTACTTGAATTTCTCTGTGCCTCAGTTCCTCATCTGCACAACGGGGGTACAAACAGGAAGCAATACTCCGTGTTTGGGGAGAGTAAATACAAATAAAGGGATTAACTAAATACACATAAAGGGGTTAACACCATGCCTAACTCAGTTCTCAATACATATCAGCTATTTTTTTTTTTTTTTTTCATATCAGCTATTTTAATCAGCTAGCACAGCACTGCTATTAAGACATTTAAGGCCCTACCTAGCCTGTCTGACTTTGAGTAGAGCATCGGCCTGTGGACTGAAGGGTCCCGGGTTTGATTCTGGCCAAGGGCACATGCCTGGGGTTCGGGCTCCATTTCCAGTGTGGGGCTGATCAATGATTCTCATCATTGATATTTCTATCTCACTCTCACTCTCCCTTCCTCTCTGAAATCAATAACAAAAAATTTTTTTTTTAAAGACATGCCGAAACCGGTTTGGCTCAGTGGATAGAGCGTCGGCCTTTCAGACTGAAGGGTCCCAGGTTCAATTCCGGTCAGGGGCATGTACGTTGATTGCGGGCACATTCCTGGTGAGGGGTGTGCAGGAGGCAGCTGGTCGATGTTTCTCATCGATGTTTCTGACTTTCTATCCCTCTCCCTTCCTCTCTGTAGAAAATCAATAAAATATATTTTAAAAAAAGAAAAAAAGACATTTAAGGTCCTGACCAGGTAGTTCAGTTGGTTGGAGTATAGTCTTGATATTCCAAGGCTTTTTGTTTGATCTCTAGTCAAGGCATATGCAAGAAGTGACCAATGAAGACATAAATAAATAAATGGAACAATAAGTCAATGTTTTTCTCTTCCCCTTCCTCTCCCTCCTTAAAAATCATTAAAGAAAATTTTGAAACAAGACATTTAATTCAGGGACTGTTTTTACAAAGCCTCAGAACTAAGAGACTGAGCTAAACGCTTCCTTTCCGGGGCGACCTCACTCTCCATTTCCCTTCTCTTCCAGGGGG